CGCCTGTCAATCAAACGACAGTCATAATAAGAATCGGTGAAGATGGAATTCAATCCCATTTCTAGTCAAACATTACACTAGTGATAACTATGTTCAGAATAAAGTAATTTGACTGAAATTTTCAATATATTCTTCTTTCATCATCTATTTTTGAACTATTATAGCAAAAATGGCTAACTCCTTATACAAAACTCCCATAATGTATCTTTAAGCAGTGATTGGTGACATCCGAAGATGGTCGACTTCTGCACGAAAGTTGATCGTTGTATCTTAAAGTCGAATTAAATCATCAGTTTCGGTCATTTCACCAGTGCTAGTCCCAAAATTACCATAGTTGGTGTCCAGTGGACGTTAAACTCCTTTTCTCTCTCTTTGGGGTCTTTTTTTCATTTCTAGAGGTCGGGTTGTGGTCGGCATAATATTCTTGCTACCATTTCTTTTCGACAGTTCTTCAGTCGGAAGATGTATATAATGGGGTTAACAACACTGTTTAGAACGTACAACGTCATCATAAACGTGAAAATAGTTTGGTTTGTCGAGATGAATTCGACAAAATCGGACACCAGAAAGCTGACACAAAGACTGTAAAGCCCAATTGGACAGTATGAGATCCCGAAGACACCGACGATAACACCAACAGTGACGGTCGTGCGCAGGTCAGCTTTATTCTTAAAAGAGTCTCTCTGGGCTATTACATGAGTGTTCCCAACCAATGTTGCTGTGATCTGTCGGATGTGACGTCTGGTAACCTTCACTATGTAAAAATACATCACAAAAACGATTAAGAATACAATACAAATGAAAAAACCAATAACGATATATCCATTGGGATTTCCGGTAACTACAAACTCGCACACGGGTCCATGAAAACCATCGAAGAAAAGCGAAACGGTTAAAATAATCGCAATGGTCCACATAAAAACTACGCATATTAACATTTTTTTTCCACGTAATCTGTTTGTTTAAATTCAATGGCAGGGCTATGTTGAGAAATCGCTCAGTGGTTATTAAAAGGTTGGTTAGAATCGTAGCATAGCTCAAAATAAGGCCCCAATACAGCCGAATTTTACAAAGTAAGTGTTCACTGGTATATGTGATTGGAAGCAGACGAACGGACAAAATCTGGAACCCGCTCATCGCATCTGTCATCTGAAGTGATAAGAAACCGACCTTTTGCCGTGCTGGAAAATATCTGCTCAGTAGAACGGAAACAAAGGATATAGTATTCAGTAAAACCGCCAAAGCACCTAAAGCGCCTATAATACCATTCACGATTATCTCATGCGCTCCGGGGTTATACGAATCTTCCGTTGAATTCACAGACATTGTGTCGAAATTTAATTAGATTTGTGTTAACTGGTACGAAAAGGATGCGAGTAAGTAAATGAAATCTACGGTCTCCTTTTTTTGTAATCCCAACAGTTTGTTTGGCTGTTCACTGTGACGAATCTGGCTGAAATACGTCCCTGTCCCACGCCTAATAAAGAGCTTTCTTAATAGAACCGTCTATCATGGTTGGTTGTATTCTTTTGGAAGATGTATAACTACTCATAGTTTTCATAATCAATATTTAAGAACATTATATCTACGTAGTGACATATCGTAATACGATCTGTTGCGTGGAACCTTGACATTTCGTATTGTCTTTAATTAAAGATACATTCCCGGGTAAAACCTGGGCGATTTGATGATATATTTGGGCTAAAAACATATTCAAACTAATTAATTTATCATAATTTTGCTTCAAATCCTTCTCAAAACATTGCAATTGTCAGGGAATACCCGGCTACAAACACTCGATCAAAAGAGGTCATGTTTATGTCACGTGACACAACGGGTGCGATGTCGGAGGAGAATTCATTGCATACAAAAGACGATGTTGCCTTTATCGCTGACTATTTATTACAAATATCGAAGCCTAATTAAATTCTCGGATTATTCACTGCTCGCGTCTTTTTCCGTGATTTTTATCTCAGAAAGTGTGTACGTCTAACTCTTCATAAAGTTTATCAACATGTACATCAAGCGCTCAATCTCCGCGTGCAACCTTCGACGTCACGCGTGCAGAAACTGTTAATCGTCGGGCTGTCGATTAGGGAAACACGTACATTTTTGCCCTGTATGCACTCCATGAGTGTTTTTCAGGGAATCCAGTATTTTTCTAGTAAGATTGGATATTTCTACTTTCCATATACCAAAATTGCCATACTTTTATTGGAAATAACCACCCGATAAATACTTTTCTGGGAATGTAGCTTTAAGGATACAATATGTAAACTGCGAACAACGACCTTTCATGAATTAAAGATACGACGTACAATATGTAAGCTGGGAAAAACGACCTTTCGTGAATTAAAGATATAGTATGTAAGATTTAGATAAAGAGCTGGTCTTTTTTACTATAATAGTTCAAACTAGAAAATTCAAAATGAATATATTGCTAATTTCATTCAAATTACTTTATTCCTAGTCAAGTTATCACTGTTTGTAGTTTTGACAATATGTGTTCAGTGATTATTTATTATCGTAACCATGGTACTGGTATATTCGAGTCTTAAGCCTAGCTCACCCGTGCTTGAGTCTTACGCATCACTTGCGTGTGTTCGGCACCGTAGAAGATCGCAAGATACACATTGAGCTTTTTAAACAGAGAAATTCAACATCTCGTTTGACGTTAATTTTTATTATGAATTAATGTAATGACATTGTGATTCAATTAATTTCATGGATGCAAAGCATCAATTGAATTGTGATATCACATAATGTCTATATCATTATCTCGTGCTTTGAGTGCCCATCCTGTCCCACATCCCACATCTCATAAAAAGTTTTGATTTACAAAAAAATTTTATGTAGCTAAGCAGGGAGGGTTTCGACCCCCCCCCCCCTCTGGATCCGCCCCTGTGTCAAAAGAACGGAGTAGGTGAATCAAAGTGAATGAATATTGTGTGTGTGTGTGTATGGGGGGGGGGGGGGTAGCTGTATGTAACGTAGCGTCTGCTTGAAAACCGGGTGAAAATTTTGGATGTGCAGAACCCAAAATCTCTACGGCCGGTTTCCGATCTTCTTCGGTGCGTAAGTCTTACGTACGGGTTTTACTCATCTTCGGTTACCCGGTGTACTCGTTCCGATCTACTCCACTATACCCTGGGTTAATCTATGGCCCTTGATGATTGTGCTATTTTTATCGACCAATCCCATAAATTGTTATTTGAAAAGTAAGTTGGCAAAGGGAAGTAACTCTCATCGGACAATTTTAGGAGTTGGCCTATTCTATATGCGTAATTATTAACAACTAATTAAATATTATGTTAATGAAGACCAGACGTTCATATAATAATGTAGGGTCATTAGTTTTATTTAGATTCGTTCGTTCGTTCGCGGAATTGTATGTCCACGTGATATCGCAGACAAGTTATTGTGAATCAAATTGCCAAGTATAAGTTCAATAATAATAAACATAACAGAATGACATATTTCAGACAAAGAACAAATAGTAATAATAATAACAAAATTCAAACATATAGATGTTATACATATTTGAAATCAACAACACATACTACAGATTTTGATAATACAATTAAATATAAATAAATTATAAATATATACATTATTTACACAAATCATTCAGTAAATGGACATGAATATGGTTATCTACCCTTATAAAAACGAAGGCGAAACGATTGGTTTGTAAACTGTTTTCTGATTGGTTCGTAGACTGTAGCTACATTCTAGGCCAGGGCAGATAATTTGAAATCGTGGAAATCCTATGGATTAACCCAGGGTATAATGGAGTAGAACGGAATGAGTACAATGGGCAACCGAAGGTGGGGTTTACTCAAATTTCCTCGTAGAATCCCCGTAGTAGCACGTACGGCGGGTAGTGATCTGGGCTTTATCACAGTATATACAACTGTGTGTCGTTGTTTCATTCATAGCTTGTGACAACTACTCATGTTCTCTGTTCTTGATTTCCATTCAATAGTTAGCATGATGCCTGTATTGTTTAATAAATGCGGTGAAAACGTTATGGCATACAAATGTAGTTTTATTTTGCCATCTTTAATTTCATATATATATATATATTCTCATTCTATTTTATCTATTTGTGTATGGATGCTTGATAACGACTTGTGAAATCTTGTTGAAACATTGCATGCAGGGGCGGATCCAGGATTTTCAGAAAGTGGGGGCGGGCTGCTGCCTACGTAGGCATAAAAAGGCGCATAATGACACAAGGACGACACTACGGGACACAAGGACACAGGGACCGCAGACTTACGACGGGGATCACTACCATTTTTAAGTACTTTTGTTCTCCTTTCCCGCGAGAATATATGGGGGGGGGGGGCGTTCGGTAAGTGCCCCCCCCCCCGGATCCGCGGTTGGCATGTGTAAAATAAACCATAATAATTGTTCTTCCATAAAGTTGTGTAACTTGATTGTGTTCCTACTACTAAATGCCATTAAAAGAATAAATATAATAGAAACCCATCGCATACAATGTTGAATGATGAAATGTTGGGTAACCACCCACACACAATTTCGGTTTAGCCGTTTTTTGCGGTATAAAAGGTTGGACGAACAGACATATGGTGAGTTATAATAATATACTCGTACATATAGAAAGAAAATGCAAACTGCGGGAACTGAACGAACAAGTAAAACCAAAAATATCTTCGTCTGAAAGATATTGGAATATCATGATTATGACGAATCCTACAGATTGTATTTCGGTGAAACAGAATGGACTTCAGGAGCTTTCAGGGTCGTCAGCTAAATCATAGAACTGAATACTCCCAGCTCAGAGAGTCGCGCTATAAAATACTAATCTGTTTCACAGAGGATTAAGAAAGTCTTATTGTTGCGGCCTGGCGAATATTCACGGCTGATCAGTGTGATAAGATATTCGTACAACTTGTACTTCCTTCTTAATTGAAATATTATTCAATTCCCAAAGTATGATCCATGTCCATCATTTGAACTGTAGCTCGGTAGTTATCTGCCCTTTGCATACTGTGGTAAAACGGAGGGTTTTATTTTATTGTTTATATTGACGTCGTTGTTTTTGTTGTAAATAGTTCATTTGATTTTTAAATTATCTCCTACAGATATATGTAACATAAACGGGTAAATTATGACAATAAAATTTTTATCCTTAACTATCCAGAAAGTCGTATTGAAGGATGAAAATATTGCAGACATATGGACATTTTGATTTAGTGTACAACGAATGGCAACAAAGTCCTCTGGCTCCAGATCACAACAACATTGAACAATTTCGTCATTCATCGAATAGAGGAAGATGACGTAAACTCGAGATCACGAAAAAATTATCTCAAGTTTAGACTAATTCAGGCATTGGAAACTTGCCAATTTTCATAGATTTTCTCAACTTAGACTACCGTACTTCAGGCAATTGAAAGCTAACAACTTTCATAAGAAGCCATTTTCATTCACATTCCTTGCAGTTAAAAGATGTCTGGACTGTGACCTTGGGTAATAAAAAAAGATTGCCCAATAGGCTGCTCTAGCCTACTCTGCCTACTACCCATTACCACCCACGGCCAATACTAACCCAATACTGGCCAATAGTCAACTAATATTGAAATAATTTATGTATTCTGTCAAGTTTCAATTGTGGGGTGTAGCCTTCTTGATGGTACATGTAGGTGTACAATATTTGGTAGTGGGTATTAATGTAAACTAGTGATTTACTATTTAAAATATTAATATTATAGTAATTTCTTATCAGATTTTAATCTTAATGTGGTGTTATGTTGTACATCTAGCTAGTGTCAGGGTAAATCGTCCTGCCACATGTAGCCTACAGATTTGGTGTTTTATAGAAATTCGTTGTATTTTACTTTTTCAGAGATAAATTAAAAATGGAGCAAGAATCAAAACAAGCAGCTGTTCTTCAAAATGGAGAAAACGGATTTGCCATGAAGGAGTCGGAGCAAATAAATAATTTAGTAGAGGACTCTGATGAAGATGATCAAAGAGAAAATGAATCATTTGATGCTGGTGAAACTTTAATAATAAAAACGGAAGAAGATGATGAGGATACTGGCTCAGGATTTATTGTGGAGGGTGAGGTTTTTGAAGAGGATTTGCCCGATATACCTTCCGATCTGACCTCGTCACATCATGAGATAATAGCCGATGACTACAGAGTGAGCATACCAGACAAACCCCACCCATATGAGTGTAATATATGTGGTAAGGTCTGCTGTAACCGAAGCGGGTTACGCAACCATATTAGGATTCACACAGGTGAACGACCTTTTGCTTGTGATCTCTGTGGTAAAACTTTTATACAAAAACAACATCTACAGACTCACATCAGGACTCACACTGGGGAAAAACCTTTCAGTTGTGACCGTTGCCCTATGACCTTTACCACTAGCGGTGGTCGTAAAAAACACATCCGTACTCACACCGGCGAGAAGCCGTATAGTTGTGGCATTTGTTATAAAGCCTTTACACAAACTGATCATCTCCATGGTCACATGCGACAGCATACAGGAGAACGACCATACAGATGTGATACCTGTAATAAAACATTCAGCCAGCGCAGCACCTTACACTCGCATTCGAGGACCCACACGGGGGATAAATGGTATCGTTGCGATATCTGTAATAAAACGTTTGCACGTAGCGACACGTTGATAGTTCACATGAAACTCCACACGGGTGACCGAGCTTTTATTTGTGGTGTTTGCGACAAGACGTTCGCGAAGAGTTGTAACTTACAGCGACATATCCGATCTCATACCGGTGAAAAACCGTATAAGTGCGACGTTTGTGATAAATTATTCAGTGATAATAGTTCTCTCAGAAAACATAGACGAAGTCATGCTAGAAAAATCATGGAAGAAACCATGGAGGAAATTAACTAGGAAAAAAATTTGGAGCAAATTAACTAGGAAAAAAGTGTTGGAAATCAACTAGATAAATCGTGTAGAAAATCAACTAGATAAATCGTGTAGGAAATCAACTAGAAAAATGTGTAGGAAATCAACTAGAAAAAAAACATGTAGGAAATCAACTAGAAAAAATGTGGAGGAAGTCATGAACTAGACAAAATGTGTAGGAAATTAACTAGAAAAAACATGTAGGAAAACAAGTAGAAAAAATTTAGAGGAAGTCATGAACTAGAAAAAATTTGAAGGAAATTAGCTAGAATAAATATGAAGGAAAACATTTTTTATTGGTGAATTCATGGATGACTACAGTACAATCTAATAGAATGCTCAGGTGGCAGATCTGGAATTAAATGGGTTAGTTGTACCTGGTAAACCCGTCAGGCGCTAGCTATTCAGCTAGAACCTTAACACTTTGAACTTTGTGTGCAGGACTGGGTTAACACTTTGAACTTTGTGTGCAGGACTGGATTAACCATTAAGCAAAATAAAAACATGCTGAGGGCATCACGAGAAGGGGGCATCACAAAATTTCTGCTTTGTTAGATGACATATTTCAAATATTTAATTCAAAAATTAATTAAGTACTTTTAATTAGTTTTTCATTGTTTTTGTCTTTTGTTTTCTGGCTGTTACCTGCTTTGTCTCAGTTTATAATAACATTATTTTCCAACTTACAGTAAGTTTTGTTATATCGAAAAACAACAATTTATTTTATTGTTTATGTTTTGAATTAAATATATATGGGGACACCAAAATCTTTTGAGTGCTTAGGTCCTCGGTGGGTTTGGTGTTCTAGTGGTTTAACAGTGTGCGTGAAACTATAGGGTCAAGTGGCGTGATTCGGATTTCTGGCTTGTACGTGACAATGAGTAGGGTCACCTGTCCAGTCTCGTAGGTTTTATCGGGTCCTCTGGTTTCCTTTCACTGCTAAAGACTCCTACGCACAAGTGAGTAATTAAAGTAAAATTGAGCTATATGCTAGTCCCAAAATAACCTAGTTTGTGTCTGGTGGATGTTAAACCCCATTACTCTCTCTCTCACTTAAGGTCTCTATGAGTTTTAATCCAGCCCTGTTTGTGTGGGACATATATTATTAATACTGTTAAAGAAACAAATCTGCACAGTAATTAAACATGCATTACGTATATGTAAGAGCTAAATCTGCCTATTGCAGGTCTATATTTGGGCCTTAAATGTTACATAAATTATTTGTCAGATATTTATTAACATGACTAGACCATAATCAACTCTGGATGCCATCCGATTTTAAGTACATTAGAACATTTTGATCATGTAATGATTTAATTTAAAAATGGTGAAGACTCGGATGACCAGAACGGTGGTTACGATCAATGCACACATCTTGCCAAAACTATAGCTAATTCTAACTTTCCTCAAATGAAAGTAATTTGAATGAAATTTTCAATAAATTCATTTTGCATTATCTATTTTTGAACTATTATAGCGAGAACAGCCAATTCTTTATCTAAATCTTACATAATGTCCCTTTAATGAGGACATTTTTATTTTCTATACCTGTAATAAAAACATGTCACTTAAAAAGGGCGGGGGGGGGTGGGGTGGGGTGGGGGTGGTGGTGATGTCCGAATGGTTAGCGTGTGCACGTTGTATCATAAGGTCTGTCATTGAGCCATAGGGTGTGGTTTCGATTGCCCGGTTGTACATGACAAGGAGTAGAGTCGTCTGTCCAATCTCATGGGTTTTCTCGGGTCCTCCGTTTCCCTTGCACTGGTAAAGACCACTACGCGCAAGCGAATTATTGAAATAAAATTGAACCATATGTTAGTTCCGAAAAGACCTAGTTTGTTTCAAGTGGACGTTAAACCCGATCTCTCTCTCTCTCTCTCTCTCTCCCTCTCTCTTAAAAAGGGCCGTGGGGTTATTACCAGAATGTTTTGTTTATGTTAGGTAATGATATGTTGTAGATATTTTTATTTGTTTTGTATATTTTTTTACACATTTTGCTGATTTCTCTGATGTTGAAGATATAAATTGTTGTTGAATGGAGTTTTTTATAACAGATGATGTGACATAGTTTGTTAAATTTTATGAAAAGCTGTCGAAGAACACTGGCGCCTAATTCACAAAAATTTAAAGCTAAACTAAATTAAAGATGCGAACATTTAATGATCACTAAAATCACTGATTAAAACACAGATTCTATTTTGTATTTCGTTTTACTTGTCTTTACTACACTAGAATCTGAAAGAGTTGTTACATGTACATGTATATACCCCGAATTCTAGTTGATGTGAGGGATTAGCCAATGAAACGGTCTGTTGCGACTAGTTCTTGTGGATATCCCACTAGAAACATCAACGCTGATTGGTTAATCAAATGTCTGACGCCATAGGGTCAAAAGCAGCTCGTAGGACATCTAACATGACTTTTCACTACAACTGGTCAGATCTTCATGTAGTAGAGGCCATCGAAAGTATAAAACAAAGAAACGAAATATAGATCTGTATTTTATTCAGATTGTTATTGAAGAGAAGAACTACAAAATTTTAACTATAAAAAACAAAATGGGTCTTGTGTGTTAATCAAACAGACAATACATACATGTAATCCATGTCTATTTCTGAACAAAAATTCAGATAAGCCTTATTTATATACTGGTAGCCAACTTCAGAGGTTTTCTCCCACTGCTAAAGACCCCTATGCGCAAGCGAATTATTGAAATAAAAGTGAACCATGTGTTAGTCCCGAAATGACCTAGTTTGTGTCGAGTGGACGTTAAACCCCATTTCTCTCTCTCTCTCTCTAAATCCCCTAAATATAAGAGTAAGCCATAGTGCTGCTGTCCAGGCAAAAATTCCCTCATAGTACACTGTATGGCGTATGTCTGTCTTCATTAGCCCAGTCAGTGCAGAACAATGTATATATACTTATACATGTACATTTATTAACGGTTTGTGGTGGGCTTTTTGGTTTATCTTTAGCTTTCCAGTAAAAAATGAAATGAAATGGGGTTTAACGTCCTACTGTTCTGCTCCGAACTGGGCTAATGAACCATGTGTTAGTCCCAAAATGACCTAGATTGTGTTGAGTGGACGTTCAACACCATTTCTCTCTCTCATATACTGGTATTTTAAATTTTGTGACACTCCCCTTTCACAAAATGCTGCCGAGATGGCATGCAAGACTGATCAATAGAAACCAGTGTTTAAATCAATTTGAATAATTTTTGTACCAAATAAAAGTACTTTTGATTTTCTGTGATCTTAATCTCTTTATACCATGAATTATAATACATGTGTTAACCGTTACTTGACCCCCCCCCCCCCAATTAGGGTCATCGACAGGAAAATCATTTTTACTTTTTTTTTTAATTCCAAGCAAAGCCCAGCTTAACCGGAGTGGAGCCCTGGGTCTGACAAGAATCGAGAGGCCCCTTACGCGACGAAAAGATTATTTCATTTCCTTTTGAATGGCACGTAACACACAATTAAACGGTCTGTAATACAAGAATAATAACATAATATCTGATCATGTACGAAATCTATTCAGTTCCGCTAGAAGCCTAGATCGACCACCGAGTGTAACTTCACAGAGAAGGTTGAGGGATAGCTGCTAGATCTTTTTGCCATGAACCGCGGGGCCTTAGGCCTGCGCCCCTCAGGCCCATGCCTAATATAAGCTGGGCTTTGATTCCTAGCATTTCTAGCTTATACTGAAACGAAATGGGATTTAGCGTCCTACTGTTCTGCTCCTATACTGGGCTAATGAAGACGGGCATACGCCATACAGTGTGCTATGTGCGAAATTTTGCCCGGGCAGCAACTCTTATTCTTATATCGAATGGGATCTTTAACGTGCATGCCAATGTATCCGCGGGACCTAGGTTTGTCGTCCCATCCGAATGACTAGACAGTTGTCCTTGTCAGACCCTTCTTCTCCTTCCTGCACCAATGACAACGGGAAACCACGTCGGAAAATCCTGATGAACTTTCTCGGCCGATGCAGGGATCGAACACCCGACCTCCAGGCTAGCGAGCCAGCTTCTTACCCACTTGGCCACTGTGGCTCCCCTAGCACTTGAAAATAATAAATAAATTTCAGTGTTGGTATTAGCCAAGAGAAGATCTTGCCAAGACCGTGTAATTTATCCTGGGAAATAAAAGAAAAGTTGGCTAAAAAAAACTATGGTCAGTGATCGGGTCACTGTAACACAGGTATTCTTTTCAAGGGGGAGGGGGTGGGGCATACAGAAAGTGATAAGGTGGGGGTAGGCTAATTTCATTCATGTCCCAGAGATAAAGGGCATGCACATTTTTTAGAGTTATTTTCGGGCCAATCTTTGCCATTTTTGACCATCGATCTGGGCATGAAGATAAGATTTGATGAAAACAAAGTTGATTTCATATCCTGGTATAGCCAGCCAATGTCTACCACAGAGAGAGAGAGAGAGAGAGGGGGAGAGAGAGATGGGTTTAACGTCCACTCAACACAAACTATGTCATTTTGGAACTAACATGGTTCATTTTTATTTCAATAATTCGGATGCGCTTAGGGTATTTAGCAGTGGGAGGAAACCGGAGGACCCAGAGAAAACCCACGCTACTCACGTCACCCGTGGAATCGAAACCACGCCAATTGACTCAATGACAGACCTGATGATACAACGCGCACGCGCTAACCATTCGGCCATCCACCCCACCACCCACCCACAACCCCCCCCCCCCCCCCGCGGGGAATCGAAACCATACGACTTGACTCAATGACAGACCGTATGATATAAAGCGTGTCCGTTAGACCCCCCCCCACACACACACACACACACAAACATTACATGGGTGACGACAATATACCTCCACATAGAATTCGGGCGTTTAAAAATAGACAGTGGCTATTGTTACGACGAGTCGTAAAAATAGTCCTCAGGCTATTGTTACGACGATGCTTTCACAGCCCTCCATCGGCGACGTTAAAAACTGAATAGTCGTAAAAATAGTCCCAACCCTAACCCTAACCCTTCCCATCTCTTAATTGCTGTTATGAAAACGTTGAAAATACTGCTCCTTTTTCAAAGCTGGTGTTAGGGAGATTTGCATCCATTCTGGAATTCGTTCTAAACTTGGGCCATACACGTCGTAACAATAGCCACTTACTTAAAAATAATATAACCAGAGACAATATGACAAATAACTAAAGAATGAATATTTTATTTAAAATTCTTAGACACGTCTAATATACATAACAAAGTCATCGTCCTGCGACAGTCATCGTAAAAAAAATATAAAATAACAATATTAATTGGTAAAAAATTTAATAAGATTATTGTAATACATGTATGCATTAACAACGACTTGGTATTAGTCCAGGTTTAACGGAGCTAAATCGCCAACAGCGAGTGCAAATTTCTAGCGTCTGGTTATTCCAGTCTACATGTGTCTAGCCTCGTCCCTCGAGTCTCTTGATACAACTGGGGCTGAAGCGCATTATGGTACACGATTCGTGTACCAATGGTAAAATGTTTATTATGTCTTAAATATTGGATATCAAAAGCCCATCTTTTTCCGGTAAGATCACAACATGAATGTTGATTTAATTTGACAAATAAATCGTGTTTTCAATGTTGAAGATTTTGGATGAGAATGAGTTAGAGACTTAGCTACTTTAAGTTCGGGGGCAGCAGCGCTGGGGTCTTCGCGGGGTAAAAAGTACCCCGATTCAAACACGACATAGCAATCTTTCTGGAGGCCTCACTGTACCTGTTGTTAAGGAGGCCTCATTGGTTGTTAAGGAACCGTATTCACAAAAAAATAAAGAGAGAGAGAGAGAGAAATGGGGTTTAACGTCCACTCAACACAAACTAGGTCATTTCGGGACTAACATATGGTTTAATTTTATTTCAATAATTCACTTGCGCGTAGGGGTCTTTAGCAGTGGGAGGAAACCGGAGGACCCGGAGAAAACCCACGAGGTTGGACAGGCGACCCTACTCCTTGTCACGTACAACCGGGGATTCGAAACCACGCCAGTCGACTCAATGACAGACTTTTTGATACAGCGCGCGTACGCTAACCATTCAGCCATCCAACCCCCCACAAAAAAATAAACATGCATTATGTAAGAGTTTAATCTTCCTATTATTTGGGCCATAAACGTTATATAAATTATTAATTGGACAATTTTTAACATGGCAGGACCATAATCAACTCTTGATGTCATCGGATGGCCCCGATTTTAACTGGATTAGAACGGTTTGGCCATTTAATGATTTAATTTAATTTAAGACTCAAATAACCATAATCAACTCTTGATGTCATCGGATGGCCCCGATTTTAACTGGATTAGAACGGTTTGGCCATTTAATGATTTAATTTAATTTAAGACTCAAATAACCATAATCAACTCTTGTGTCATCGGATGGCCCCGATTTTAACTGGATTAGAACGGTTTCGCCATTTAATGATTTAATTTAATTTAAGACTCAAATAACCATAATCAACTCTTGGTGTCATCGGATGGCCCCGATTTTAATTGGATTAAAACGGTCTGGCCATTTAATGATTAAATTTAATTTAAGACTCGAATGACCAGTACGGTGGTTACGATCAAAGCACACATCTTGTCAAAACTACAACCACTGATAACGTCGCTCAAAATAAGGTTATTTGAATGAAATTTTCAATATATTCATGTTGCATCATCTATTTTTGAACTATTATAGCAATAAAGGTCAGCTCTTTATCGAAATCTTGCATAATGCCTAATTAACTAAAATATCTGGACAATTCGGCTCTGTCAGTAAAAGGGTACAATATCTTGTTATTACATCTATATACAAGACCCAATAAAATACAAAATCTATATACAAGACATATACAAGACAATAAAATACAAAGTCTATATACAAGACCCAATAATATACAAAATCTATATACAAGACCAATAAAATAATCTAACAATATAGGGCCAACAATACAAACTTGAGACAGATAGAAACAAACAAAACTTGAAAAAAAAAAAAGAATCTGCGTGATTTGAAACAATTTCGACAACATCTTGAACATTCCATGGTTTCAGGCGAGGTTCGGTCATGATCGACTGTTTCCGTTCACAAGAAAGATTGAGAGAAATGAGGTATAAACCAGGTCATTTCAGGACTAACATATGGTTCAATTTTATTTCAATAACTCCCTTGCGCATATGGGTCTTTGGAACTGGAGGAAATTGGAGGACCCGGAGAAAACCCACGAGGTTGTACAGGCGACAATATTCCTTGTCACGTACAAGTGGAGAGTCGAAAACACGTCACTTGACTCAATGACAGATCTCTCGGGCACCCACCACAAAAGGGCTGTCTACAAAAAGAGAACGCGAGTCCGCATCACAGTGCTAACATCACAGTGGTAAAGGTTACAGTTAATTGATTAAAATAATGACTGAATAAATCATTTTAAATAAAAAATACCAAACTTGAAAACAAAAAATATACACGTTTCGAAATTAGTAAAAATACCGACAATACCATCTTGAAGGATTTCTTCTACACATACATTTCAAGGAAAAACAACGATTCCTAAATCGCTGACGTATATTTTTACGTCTGTTATTAAGTCTACGTCTATTTTTGCGTTTGTTCGTATTTTTACGTTTTGGTTTCATGGTGGTTATTTCTTCGTTTATACTCTCGGTTCTTTCATCAGTAACCGGACGATCTTCTGTTGTTGTACTTGTTGTCGACTCCGTCACTGTTGATGTAGGCGTCTTTGTCGTTTTTGTCGGGCGCGTTGTGGTTGTAGTCGGATTTGTTGTTGGTTCTCTAAATGCTGTTGTGGAAGTTGTCGACTCAATTGTAGTCGATATCGGCTCCGTTGTGGTGGTTGTCGGCTGTGTTGTGGTTGTTGTCGGCTGTGTTGTGGTTGTTGTCGGCTGCGTTGTAGTTGTTGTTGGAAGTGTTGTGGTCGTCGGCTGCGCGGTGGTTGTTGTCGGCTCCGTTGTAGTTGTTGTCGGCTCCGTTGTAGTTGTTGTCGACTCCGTTGTAGTTGTTGTCGACTCCGTTGTAGTTGTTGACGGCTCCGTTGTAGTTGTTGTCGGCTCCGTTGTAGTTGTTGTCGGAGAACTGGTCGTTGTTGTTCTCAAAGAAGTCGTTGCAATGACTGTAGTAGGTGGTCGAGGTTCGGGTGATACAGTTCCCAGCTCTACCCCAGCAGTAATGGCACACGTCTCACAACAGTAAGTGTTTTTTTCCGACTCCGAGTAGCCGTTTTTACATCGACGTGCATCACAGTTATATGTTGGATCATCCCCTTGTGAACAGTTGGCTAAAGTGAAATAAATGAAGGGACCATTAAAGATACATTATGGGAGATTCGATAACGAGTTGGCAGTTCGCACTATAATAGTTAAAAACTGGATAATGTAAAGGCAATGTGCTAAAAATTTCATTCGAACCGAGAACTAAGCATTTGAAATTTCCGCCTAGCCTCGATCATCATTACTAAAGTTAATACGATAAACGGCATAGTCTTGATTATCCATTTAATCGTTAAATCGTGAAGGAAAGTTATGCAGTAAATCGGCTCACAATCCACTTACGATCACAGGCTAGCGATGCAATCTAGAGTTGATTATGGTCTGGATGGATTAATTAATGTCTAATTAATAATTTAGATAACATTTTGGGCCTACAAATAGTGGGCGTTGCAGCCACTCTACTTAGAATGCCAAATGCCAAGAGATTCTGTTTTTGTTTTTGTTACAAAATAAAATGAAATGGTGTTTAACGTCCTATTGCTCTGCTATGACTGGGCTTATGATAACGAGCATACACAGTGTACTATGAAGGGGATTTTGCCAGGACAGCGGCGCTACAGCCTATTCTTATACAGAATTCCAACAGCCAAGGGATCTTTTACCTGCACGCCAATGTGTACACGGGATATTGGTTTGTCAGGGGCAAACTACGCCGGAAAATCCTGATGAATTTTCTCCGTCAACAGCGGCAGCGAATCCGCGACCTCCAGGCTAACGAACCAGCGTCTTACTCACTTAGCCACCGTGGCTCCTGTTTTTGTGACCTACCCGCCATTGTGTATACGGGTGGGTCTTAGTATTTTGTCTTATCCGAAAGTATGGGCAGAATTTAATTTTCAGATATCATTAATAGTATTGCAGAGCACTTACCATATTTTCTGGGTGCTCTAGGACTAGCTTCACATAAACCAGTAACACACCACTAGAAATAAATAAGAAATGAAATGAAATGAAATAGGGTTTAACGTCCTACTGTTTTGCTCCGAACTGGGCTAATGAAGACGGGCATACGCCATACAGTGTGCTATGAGGGAAATTTTGCACTACGGCCTACTCTTATATCTAATTCCAACTGTTAGGGGATCTTTTACATGCACGCCAATGTGTTCACGGGACCTCGGTTTTTCGTCTCATCCAAATGACTAGACAGCTGTCCTTGTCAGGCCCTCCACTCCTGCATCACTGACAAGGGGGAACCACACCGGAAAATCTAGGTGAACTTTCTCGGCCAACGCAGGGATCGAACACCCGACCTCCAGGCAAGCGAGCCAGCGTCTTACCCTCTTAGCCACTGTGACCCCGAAATAAATAAGAGATAATATGTATTATTTATAAACAACATTAAAATACAGATCTATATTTCGTTTCGTTTTTTTTTTATACTTTTGATGGGTTCTGGTAGAGGCCATCAAAAGTATAAAAAAAACGAAACGAAATATAGATCTGTATTTTAATCAGACTGTGACAAATGTTGATATTTTCCAAATTTTTATAAGAGATATTTCGTTCACTAAATGACTGGGAGATCGGGGAACAGGCAAATTGCTCATGCCAGACACCCGTCTCTATTTACAATACGATCTATATATTCTCTTCAAAAAAAAGTAGGGGATATTGAAATGCAAATACCTATGCAGGTTGAGATAAAACGTCCATTTTCACTTTTGACAGTGTATCTCTTTGCGAGTGAAATGGGGCCGTCAGATAAGCCGCCCATATGAACTGTTTATGTTCATGTGTAGAGTTAGAGAGAGAGAAATGGGGTTTAACGTCCACTCGACACAAACTTGCGCGTAGGGGTCTTTAGCAGTGGGAGGACCCGGAGAAAACCCACGAGGTTGAAATGTTCATGTGTAGCCAATTGGCCTGTTATTAACATACACTGGTTATCTCTAATAAAAACAGCAGTGCATTTCCAGTTTTGTATTGTTTCTGAATATCCTCTAATTTTTTTGAAGAGTATATAATAAAAATGATATTCTACAAAGTGACGTCTTATTTGGCTTATTTTATAATTCGACGACATTGAAATTATTTTTGTTTAACGCACACAGCGTTGTTTATTGCAGAATCTAAAATATTAACATACCTTGCCATCACCACATGATGTTTCCTCTTGAGGAACAGTTTTACCACAGTAGCCTGGTTTATCTGGTATAGTACAATACATAGCTGGACACATCATATCATAACCTCTGGAAATATGTAGTGGCTGAAATAATAATAAATAAAGGAAATGAAATGAAATGGGGTTTAACGTCCTACTGTTCTGCTCCGACTGGGCTAACGAAGACGGGCATACGCCATACAGGGTGCTATAGGGGAAATTTTGCCAGGACAACGGCGCCACGGCCTACTCTTGTACGCGGGACCTCGGATTTTCGTACCTTGGCAGATCCCCCATCCTGCACCTCTATCAATGGGAAACCACGATGGAAAATCCCGATGATTACATATAGTTATTTAAAACTAATTAAACATACATTATGCAAGAACTAAATCTGTCTATTGCTGGGCCCTTATTCACGAAAACTTAAACTAAGATACAATCGAAATTTTAAGAAATACTGCAATTCGATTGGCTGACCAGTAAAATCAATTTGCATATATCCAATTTGCATATTGGTCAGCCAATCGAATTGCAGTATTTCTTAAAATTTCGATTGTATCTTAGTTTAAGTTTTCGTGAATAAGGGCCCAGGTCTTTATTTAGGCCTGAAATGTTATCTAAATTATTAATTAGACATTAATTAACTTATTCAGACCACAATCAACTCTCGATGGCATCGCTAGCCTGCGATCTTTAGTAGATTATGAGCCGATTTACTGCATAACTTTACTTCACGATTTAATGATGATTAAATTGATAATCGAGACTATGCTGTTTATCGTACTGACTTTAGTAACGATGATCGAGGCTGGGCGAAAATTTCAATCACTTACTTCTCGGTTCATAGTGGATCAATTTGAATGAAATTTTCAGCAAATTGCCTTTACATTATCTAGTTTTAAACTATTATAGTGAGAACTGCCAACTCGTTATCGAATCTCCCATAATGTATCTTTAATTTATCTGTCTCGCTAGAAACGATTCACAAGAATACACAGGCCACAATTATATGGAGTACAATTACTGATTTTTACTGAGCAACGTTTCGACTAGGCTTCTCAAGTCATTATCAAACTACTGAGCGAGATTTCCACTAGGCTTCTCCAGTCATGACGTGGAAATATTGTAACACTTTGGTCCTGAAGGCAGTATTGGTTCTTTAAAATATTGTTGCTTCACTCTGTCTATAGAGTCAAATCACACGTACTTAATGAACGTGAATATATATTTATACATAAAAAACAGTGATATTTTGGTAAAATCAACCATTGTCAAAATATCCATCAAATTCTATCTGTTTATTGACCTATTGGTAGACCAAATAGGGTAATGTTTCCTCCTCTGGTCTTGTGAAATAATGGGGTTTATTCCATATTTGGGATAGAAATCAATGTCAAGGCTAACTCTAAGACGTGCAGAAATTAGGGGGTTATAAAACAGGGTGTTGAGCGAGGCTGGGCAGAGCTCACCCGGATATTCCAAGCAGTTATTATTATTGAGAACGAGTTCCAAGCCATTACAGCTTAACAATAAAGTTGTAAGAACCATTTATTCTGTAGTGTTATTACGATCACGAAGAGAGGGTTGGATGGCCGAATGGTTAGCACGTGCGCGCTGTATCATGAGGTGTCATTGAGTCAACTGGCGTGGTTTCGAATCCCCGGTTGTACGTGACAAGAAGTAGGGTTGCTTGTCCAACCTTGTAGTTTTCTTCGGGAATTCGAAACCACGCCAGTTGACTCAATGACAGGCCTTATGATACAGCGCGCACGTGGTCCGTGTATCTCCAGTTCAGTTACTAAATGCCATATAAGCACATTACAATCAAACTTACTCTACATAAAACTGATTTTGCGCCAAAAGCCATCTGACATTGACGATCCGCGTCCAGTAATTGACCAGCAGAATCTTGTAAACCACCAATAAAATCTGTGGCTTCCGTTGTCTTTGTACAAGATACACTAATGAAAATAGAAAAACGAGTAGTTGTTAGATAATCGTCGATCCTGTCGACATAGAAGAAATGAAATGAAATGGGTTTAACGTCCAACTTTTCGGCGCCGACTGGACTAATGAAGTCGGGCATACGTCACACAGTCAAGTGTGCTACGAAGGAAATTTTGCCCGGACAACGGCACTAATGGCCTACTGTTATTTGGAATTCCAACTGTCAAAGGTTCTTTTATGCGCATACCAATGTGTACACGGGACTTTGATTTGTCGTCCCACCCGAACGACTAGACACTGTTCCTTGTCAGGCCCTCCGCACTACACTACTGACAAGCGGAAACCACGGGGACTTTTCTCTGCTAACACCGGAAGCGAACACGAAATCTCCCACCTGAACCTTACTCACTGAGCCACCACGGTATCTTACCTGGACATGTATCTTTTAAACGCGCCAACAGAACAAGTGGAAAAGGTCCAAGGTCTTGCAGCTTTTTCTACTTCTTCTGGGAAGGACGAATAACTTGCCATGATATAGTTCTCTGAATCCGAACAAAATCCAGCTTCCGTTTCATCATGGCCGGCACCAAGACTAGAAAATAACAAACAACAAAAATATAAATATCTTCTCGATAACAATGGGACAATATAAACCAGCAATAAATGCGGATCGGGGGGGGGGGCAGGTGCGCCGAGCGAATTT